TGCGGGGGTTGGAGGAAGGTGGAAAAAAGATCACGTCAATATTTTCATCAGTATAAGAAAATGCCCAAATCAACCCGCCTATGTTAAATCCTAGCTATGTGCCAGACACTTCTCTAAACACTCAGGATACAAAGAAATGAAAAAGTGCAGTCCCTGTTCATAAAGCACTTCCATTCTAACGGGGGAGACAACACATAGAGAACTAGATACGTAGAGAGCAGAAGAAAAAGGGTATCTCAGAGGGGAAGGCCACAAAAGCTAGAAGAACCTGCAAATGCTTCCTGCAGAAGGTGAGATTTGAACTGAGTCCTGAAGGAAGGCAGGTAAATGACGAGGCAGAGTTGGGGGAGGGAGAATATTCCATGGTGACAGTACAAAGACAGAGATGGGAGATATGCAAGGAATAGCAAGTAAACCCGTGTAGCTGGATCAGTGCAGTTGTAAAGGGAAATAAGGCATATGAAAATTGGAAGGGTAGGAAAGGGATAAGTGGTGATTAACTGCCAAAAGATTTTACATTTGATCCTGGGGGTAGTAGGGAGCCACTAGAGTTTACTGAGCAGAGGAGATGCCATGATCTGGCTTATGCTTTAGGAAAACCATGCAGACAACTAAGTGGAAAATAGACTGGAGAGAGAAGAGCCTTTAGGCAGGTGAATCAAAAAGAAAATCAGTGTAATAGTGTAGACCAGAAATGATGAGGGGCTGAAATAAGTGGCAAAGTGAATGGAAAGGTAGTTGATGAGTAAGAAAGTATTACGTGAGAGGCTGTGAAAGTTTAAAGGTCAAGATTTCACAATGGACTAGATCTATGGGATGAGTAAGAGTGGAGATGCCAAGGATAACACTGAGGTTTTGGGCCTGGGTGACTAGAAGGAGAGTGGTGCTATTGATAGTAACAGGGACACAAAGAAGAGGGGAAGTTTTAGGGAAAGATAATGAGTTCTGATTTAGACATGCTGAGATCTGGCCACTGGCAACCCGGCTGAAGAAAGTGGGAATGTTTACTAACTTAATGGGGGATGGGATATTGGTCCTTAAGGATCAGAAGAGATATCCACGTGGAAACGGAATCCACATTGCTCTGCCAGGCCCCAGGGAGCAGAACTAGGATCAGTGGGGGGACAGAAGGAGAGGGGGAAGGGGGATTAAATGGAGGTGGGTTTTGCATCACTCATTGGGAAGAAAAAGCTTCCCAATTATCAGAACAGTTCAGAAATGGAATGCACTACCCTGGGGGGAGACTGGAGATGTTTTAAAAGAAGCTGGATGAACCCTGCTTGGTGGGGATGTTATAGACAGCATGGATGGAAGTTGTGCTAGATGCCTTCTAAGGTTCTCTCCAGTTCTAGAATGCCAGGGATTCTCAAATTTTCTTTGCTTAAGAGCACCGTATTCTTTGCCATGAGGAACTGTAGAAGCTGAATGTTTAAGTTGACAACTCTATGGGAGAGTCAGGAGATTAATGCATGCACAGCTTCCCTTCAATAAGGGTGGCCTCAGCAGAATGCTGAGCTGTTTGCAAGTCTAAGATCTGATGTTCTGAGGTAGTACATAGTGTAATAGGAAATTATTTTGTGAATATTATACTTACCATATTTATCAAGACGCAGCTTCCAACAGCCACAATGCATACCATACTATGCATGCTGGGTCAGCAACATTTTCATTAATCAAAATTATTTAAACTTTCTTTCACCTGCAATAACGCCTGGTGCAAAATCTTGCAGCAAACCTAACCAAATCTGTGGCACTCTAATATGTCACAGCACACCCTTTGAGAACCACTTTTCTACATGGACAAAGTTGAGAGAGCCCTTGACAGAATATAATGCCACCATCTCTAACCGTTCTTTGTGAGTAAGAGCACTGTAACCCAGCCAATGTACTGGGACATACTGTTGCATTACAATGGCATCTTTGGACTCCCTCAACTTTCAAAGTCCCTTTTCTTTGCCAATTTTTTGGGTGTCTGGCTATTAACCATGATATGAGGAGAAAATGGTATGCATTTAACTACAACACACCATATGCACATCAGCAATGGTCCTGTGAGGTAGGTAGGTATACCATTAATCTTATTTCACAGATGGAGAAACTGAAGCAAGGAGAAGTAAAGTTCATTGTCAAAGATCACAAAGCCAGCAAGTTGCAAAACTGGAGAGTGAACAGTCTCCTGAGTCTGGGCAGTGATCTTACAGGCAAATGAACAGGTGGCTCCTTGGGTTGGTAGATAGTGCCCCCTTACCCTTCAGTGTGCTCTGACAAGATCACAAGTAGGACATGAACTTAACAGGTGGAAAACACTGAACTAGAACTTCAAACAGGAGTAACTGAAACAAATTTACAAAGCATTCAAAGAAGTAACCATCAACTGTACTGGTAGTGGGGAAAAAAAGGGAATAACAAAATTACAATAGGAAAATTCTTACTTAAAGCTACAAGCCCAACAAAGAAAAAGCAGTAAAAGGAACAGTAAACATCAAAGAGAAAGACACAGTTACCAACAACCACAACACCTCAGCAGAAGACAATGGAGTGGGTCTATTGTGCAAACTTTCTGCCCCAAAGATAATGCTTACCAGAGGGACAGCTAGCAGGAACAAACCATGAAGCAGTTCTACAGAGAAACTAATCACATAGTTCAACTAGGGATATGACAGAAGAATGGGGCAACAAGGAAAAATCAGACTGAAATCTCATCACAGATAACGAATACCCTAGAAAAAAGGGCAAACCAAGCAGTCTTCACTCCAAAATGGACAGGCACCGAGATAAAAGCAAGCCAAACTTTGCCCAGGCTGCCTAGCCTCCATGCCTAGAATGCTCTCCCTCCTCAACTGGCCCTCCTAGAATCCTTGGCTGCCTTCAAAGCTCAGCTCAAATGCCACCTCCTGTGGGAAGACTCTCCAGATCCCTCTGGCTGTCAGTGCGCTCTCTCCTCCACCTCCTCCTTATAATGCATTTATTTGCTAGGTCAACCAGGTAGAAAGGAAACTCCTTCCAGGCAGAACATACCATTTTCATCTTTGCATCCACAGCACTCAGCACAGAGCACTGCACAGAGTACAGAGCTACTTAATGAACTGAGAAGTGGACGACAGCACACCCTGAGGCCCTGAAATACTGGCCTGCTCAGCCTAGCTACCTGACTGATTCACCAGTGAGCCTGGTCAGAGCCAAAAGATAAGAAAGCCACTTACAACGAGACCAGGGTTCAAACCAGGGTTTTACTTTCCTTCTCTCCTAGAAAAGTACAAGCTACCTCAAAAACTCTCAGGCAAAATCCTGCCTGACCTTGTGGTGGTTTCCTGAACAGTGACAAAAATCTCCTCAATAACCATTACGGAGGATGAACACCATGGGCCAGCTGACTTGTAGTTAGAGACATTGAACAACCACACCCCAAACAAAGGTTGGTTGATGGATCAATGTCAACCTAGATCTGAAGTCAGAAAACCTTGATTCAAACCCTAGTTCTGCTACTTACTACCTGAGTGGGCCTACTGCAAGTCATTTTCTCTCTCCCTCTTCCACCCCCCAGACCTAACTTCCTTCAGTGGCAAAATACAGTATTGGACTAGGTAATCTCTCAGAGCCTTTCCAGATTTAATCCTATAAGCTTAGGAAAATAGTTGTTTCCACAGTACTGTCCTTCCCCAGTTTTCTTCAATACTTTTGGGTGAAGATATGACAGGTTTATCAAAGTCATGGCTGACATAAAGCTAAAGAAGATAGCTAATATGTTGGTAGAATCAAAACTCACAGTATCATAGACTTAGAGCTAGAAGGGACCTTCGAAGTCATCTAGTCCAGGAGTCAAGAACCAGACTTTCCAGAACAAATCCCCTTAATAAAGATTTGTTCTGTAAAACTTGGACTCCATCAAAGGGCTGCACTTGAGGACCCAGAGAGCCACATGTGACCTCGAGGCCACAGGATCTAGTCCAATCCAGATGGAACCTCGAACCAAAATCACGATGAAATTTAATAGAAGTCAAGCCTTGCATTTTGGTTTTTTTAACTCAAATACACAAACATAGGATGGCAGAAACCTAAGAGGCTGAGTTAATCCCAACTCTAAGACTATGACTGATCTTCCTTAATGAATTTTTTCAAGGATAATAAATTCCCCAATTCCAACCCCAAATAGCAGGGAAGAAAAAAAGATTTTAACATTCTCTACAACTGGTATCTGTCTAGTAAGTCCTTCCATTTAATCACAGATAGTGCTGCTACTACTGACCCATTTTTACCTGACCTACAATCAGTTTCTAGAAAATATACATGACTACCTCTAGTGCATACCCTTTTTGCTTCTAATTAAACTGGAGACTAAAAGTGTTAGCTTTTTTTCTCTTAGAGAGAATTTGCATTATCTATTATTTTCCTGAAATTACTGTGAAAGACATCTAGTTTTCAATTGTGAGGCATTAAAATTTTACCAAGATAATAAAGCTTCACTCAGGCTCCCAGAGTCATCCATCTTGAAAACAAGCCACTAACATACATCCCAGGGGAAAACCCTAATGCAGCAACTGTCCCTTTTCTTAGGCTTCTATATAGGAAAGAGCAATTATTTCAACATCAAGTCTCTGGAGTTTACCAAACAGTCAAGTTTCCATTTTAATCCTGACTGGGGGAAGATGGGGTGTAATCATTTATTTATGCTTAGAAATTTCAAAGAACTGACACACAAGTCCAAAGAGTGTGTGTGTGTGTGTGTGTGTGTGTGTGTGTGTATGTGTGTATGTATCAGCCAATAATCAAAACAAAAGCAAAAGGCCAATACACACAAAACAATTTAGAGTGAATATCTGACAAATAAAAATTTAGTGTAGAAAACCAACCCAGGCCTTTGCCCTGGGGCCTATTTTATTTTATTTTATTTTTTTAAACTATTCCTCTTGATAACCTCAGAATATCAGATGTCAAACAAGAGCTGGGTGCAGACTTTCCTCTGATACCAAGCCAGGCTCCTAAGACAGGAACTTACTTACTTCTTTGCGCTTCGTTTCTGGACACTCGGACTGCAGGGTGAGAGTCGCACCTTCAATGTTTCTCGGCATAGGGGTTGAACCAGGATTTATGGTTAAATGGATCTGATCTGGAGAGATGATGTGCTGCACATAACCCTGGGACATTCCTTCATGATCTATTAAGTGATATCCCTCATCAGGACCCCCCACTAAAAAAGGCAGGTGTTCTCCACATTGTCCTTCATCATCATCATCTTCCAGAGTGCCAGGGTCCTGCTCAATGAGAACAGTTGTCCTGTCATAAACTGTTCCCGATGAAGAAGGCATCAGTCCATTCTTATCCACAAACCTGAGTATTTTGTCATGATGTGACAGTTCATCTTCCTCTGCCTCATAACAAATGATACTGTCATCTGGACTGTTTTCCCCCATGGTTCAACAGAGCTCAGTGCAATTGTGAAATATGGGATGAGGACCAGTCTGTAAAAGAGTAAGTTGAAAATTAGAGGTCTACCACATGGACTGAGGTGCCTTCAAAACCTAGGAGTCCTAGCAATATTACTAGGGCCCTCTTTACCCCTTGCTATTCCCTCTGTGAAGTATTTTTTAGAGCCCCAAGAAGACCTAGACTAGACAAATCATAGATACTATGGCCTCTGTGGTATCAGTCAGCCTATTGTGTAAGGCTCAAGTCACTTCTAAAAAAGTGAAGTGCCTCACTAGAATTTCCGGGTGTATTTCTCTTTACCATTTGGTGACCCAAAGATTACCAGAGAAGAAAATGAAAGGAGTAGAGGCATTAAGCATAATTAGGTAACTTAAAGAATGAGACACTCTGGATAGCGATATAAGAAAAAATCCTTCCTATAGCCCTCAAATGAGAACAGGACCCTCCTACTACACATGGGTTCCTGGACTACACCCTCAGGCAGCTCCAAGGTGGTTGCTTCATCACGTTTCTCCTGGTACTCCCAACTACAAGCCACTCTCTATGCAGATTTGCTGATGGGGGTGGGGGGTGGAGCAGGAATCAAACAGGAAGCTTTTCTTCTTTGAAACAGTGAACTGCAATTCCCCCCAAATCTGACACATCGAGTTTTACAAGTCTGGGTGAGGCTAAGCAGAACATATGAGCACAGGATAATTTACAAAGTTTCAACATGGTCATTCTTATTTTCTGCTTCACACCTTAACTTTCTCTTCCACGTTTTGGTGCTGGACATTCTATCTCAGAATAGAGTAGGAAGCCAGCCTATCTCTATACGGGGTCTACACAAACTATGGGGCCAAAGAGGTTGGAGGAACCAGATTAGGAAAGAACCTTTCTGACCTCTGACTCAGGTTTATGCAACTGTCAGATGGATGCACTTCACTGCAGTTGGGAGGAGGAACAGAAAGATAAGAGTACACTGGGCTCTGGCCAGCTGATATAGACAACCTAGACAATGAAGTATGTTGGGGTAGGGGGCAGAGATGTGGAGCTAGGGATTGCTTAAGGAAAGGCTGAAGCATGCCCCCTGGGAAAAGGAGGAAGAAAGGGGAGAGAGGAAGAGGGAGGGAAGGAGAGAGAGTGAGTTTGAGCCCTCATCCCGGCTAGTGGCGGTATGGTAGTTCAACTGAAGCAGGAGAACGAAGGAGTGGAGGTACATAGAATGTAAATGCCCCTGGTAGGGCTAGAAGGCGATGAGATAGATAGAGGAGGTTCCTCAACTAGGGGGTAGGGGAGGAGGAAAGGACATTTGAAGTGAAGTACACCTGAAGCCGGGGCAGGAGGGAATTAGAGGATCTCTAAGAGAGAAGAACGGGCGCTGGGGTCCCGGTAGGGGGTAGGCTCAAGGTGCCCTTGAAGGGGCTAGGGCTGGAACGCTTCACACTTCCAGTAAGGAAGTCAGGGAGCCAGGGTCCCCTTTTAAGGGTGGGTGAGAGAGGCTCTGGATCCCACCTACCCCTACACAGGCTGAGCTCCCCCAGTGAAGAGGGAGAAGAGGGACCCGAGACCAGACTCTCGGGGAGGGAAGGGGGTAGGGGAGCGAGCTAGGGTCCTAGCCTGGGAGTTACCTCGAAGGGCTTGAGTATTCGTCCCCTACCCCTGGGGAGGAAAAGGGAGGAGTGGGGGTCAAGTGAGGGTACCCACCCCCTGAGGGGGTGAGGAGCTGGCGGGCGGGCTGGGCCAGGGGTGGGGGTAGCAGGGAATCCCGGAGGAAGCCGGGTCTCCCCGGGGGAGCAGGGAGGGGCCGGGGCCAGGTCTCCATGGAGATGGGGGGAGGGGGATGGATCCCTGTCCCCATGGAGACAGAGAAGGAGGGGGGTCCCCATGGAGACGGGACCGGGAATCTCTCCCCCAGCCTCCGTAAAACGTTCCTTCGGCCCCCGAGGGCCGCCCTCCCCGACCCTTCCTCCCAGGTAGTCTCCACCCCCAAGTGGTCGCCCGGCTCCAGCTCTTACCTTGGCGGCACCCGGCAACGACAGCGGCGGCAGCAGCTCTTCCCCTCCCCAGCGGCACCATGATTGCCCCCCACCTTCCCCCCCTTTCCCTCAACGTCACTTCTGCTTCCTCTTTCCGGAGGAAGACGAGATAGAGGGAGCAGCCACCCGGTCTCCTGCGCGCGGACTTAACCAACCACTCCCTTGAGGGCTCGAGCTCTGGGCAGGGGAGGGAGGAGGGGGTGTGAGTGAGGAGCGTCCAATAAACTCGGAGAGGTGTGGGGTCGGGCGGGGCGGGGCCAGCTGCTGGCTGAGGCTCTGTCACAGTTTCAGTCTCGATCTCCGGCTCACGCTCGCGGTGTCGGTCTCGGTCTCGGTCTCGGTCTCGATCTCGGTCTCGGTCTCGGTCTCTGCCCTGCACCTTCTCCCGATCTGGACCTTGGCGGGAGAGAGCCCTTACTAAGGCCGGGGCGCCACCGTCCCCGCGGCGGGCGTGCGCTCTTCTCCCAGCGTTGCAGCTGAAGGGACCGAGGTTATGCACCTGAAAGAACGGCTGGGGCTCTCTACGAGGGCACTGGGAGGGGCCTCGAGGAAGAGCCAGCTGGGGCAGGGGACCCTGGAGCTCCTGCCCTTGGCCCCAGCTGCACCCCCCTTCCCCCGGGAATGACTGACCTGACACCCCTGGAGAAGCTGGACCCTTCTTAACGTCCCCTGACCGCGGTCACCCGGCCTCCCCCTCCCTGCTCACAGCCCCCCGCCCCCACCCCAGTGCCGTGGGGGCCGTGGTAGCCCCACACCGCTGAGCTGGGCATCCATCCCTGGCGGAAAGCCGGGCCAGATTAATAAACAAATGGTTTGGGAGCGCTTAGGGAATTGGCGATCACTGACAGCCAGCGTGCGTTCACTACAAACAAGCCCTGCCAGGGTTTTGCCAACTTATTATTTGGTTTTGGACCAGACTTGTGATTTTATTATTAGCAGGGGGACCTGTGGGTGAGGAAATTCCCCCTACCAGTTTGCAAACCTTAAAGAGCTATAGATTTGTGAGCTAATGGGGGGGGTGGCATCATGATAGGTAGTGTGATGGATTTGGGGGTGGGATGAACCTGGGTTCAATCCTACCTCAGCCTTCATTGACTGGGCAAACCTTTTTATTTGTTTCCAACCTCAGTTTTCTTAAGAATGGGGATGATAGAGCCTACCTCCCCGGGTTGTGGGGATTGCATGTGGTAGGTGGAGCATCTGGCAAACCTTAAAGTATTATATAAATGTGAACTGTTAATTTGACAGATTACTAGGCTGGTCAATAAGGCAAATTCTTGAGACATTTTCCGATGCCTCCCTGAAATTTAGGTGTTCAGAGTCTCTTAAGTCATCGTTGTGCACAAGATGGAGAAATGTAGGCTAGAGGATAGCACAGATTCAACCAGCTACACATCCATGTAGACTTAAAAAATATCCATGAATGGATCAAAGCTAATCTGTATGGAGATTTCTGGTGGAGCAGTGCAGTGTTCTATCTTCAACCCCCTATCTGTTCCACATATTTTTTTTAAACCACCAATGTTAGATTCATTAGTAGGAGCTTTGCATTTCCCAGAATTCTCACCAAAACAAGAGCCCATATTTTTAATAGCTGTATTCTGATGTTTTATGGATTTGAGTCATGAACCACTAATCTCCAAAAAAGTCAAATAATGTAACACTCAGAGGGAAGTGAAGAGACCCATAGTGAGTATAAGTAGGCTGTAACACATAAGGTCTTATGAAAAACTAGAATAAAAGATGTAATCAAAGAAACATAAGAAAGAAAAAGATGGGCTGACCACATGCTGCCAAGAATGAAGGATAGTCAACATAACCTCTGTACTCCATTGGCATTCTTGATGTCTCAAGACACCCAGGAAGGTTACCTTTGACTCATTGGAGTATATGGGCAAGAATTGTACAGGATGAGCTGGCAAGGATGAATTGCAGGGGACTTTTACATTGATAAGATTACAGATATTTGAGTGGTAGAGCCTTCCAAGCCCGTGTTGTATTGATCAGCCACAAACACTGCACCTTAACCCCAACATCATGATGTCATTGGTCCTCTTCAAGTATGAAGAATAAACAGCAACAAATGCCAGGTAGTGTGCTAAGCACTGGGGACACAGAGAAAGGTCTCTGGTCTCAAGGAGCTCACACTAATGTGGAAGACAACATGCAAATAGCTATGTACCAACTATACAAATCAGGAGGCATAGATAAGGAGAACATTCCAGGCATGAAGGATAGGCAGTGAAAACACCTGCAGCTAGATGTCTTGTTTAAGGAACAGCAAGGAGGTTTGAATCACTGGATCAAAGATTAAGTTGGGGGAAGGGGTGTAAGGTATAAGAAGAATGGAAAGGGCTAGGTTAGGAAGGGCTTTGAGTAACAGAAGATTTTAGAGTTGATCCTGGAGGTGATAGGAAGCCATTAGAATTTGTTGAGTTAGGGGTTAGGGGTAGAGGTAACCTGCACTTTAGGAAGTTCAATTTGATAAATGAATAGTGGTTAGACTAGAATGAGGAGAAATTTGAGGCAGAGGGAGAATAATGGAAGTCAACTTCAGTAGTCCTCACGTAGTGTGATGAAAGCCTTCACCAGGGTGGTGGCAGTGTCAGAGGAGGGAATACAAGATATGCAAGAAATATTACAAATGTAAAATTGACAGGACTTGGCAGCAGATGAGAGTGATTGTGCCCATTCATGCCCTTTGTCTTTAAACCATAACTAAAAGCACTCTCCTCTATTTCATGTGGTTAATTTTTTCCCCCTAACCTTGTGAAAGCATCACATTATCAAAATATATAAAACTATTCCTTGATTCTTTGGCATAGCCAATCAGGTAAAGAAACTCTGGCCACCAGGACAGCCTTTCAGAAAAACTCCCTAGAGTACTTTGGTTAATCTTTCAACAACGACTTCTTTGGGGAAAACTTCCCTGGAGGTCAAACTTCCTAGGCTCCCACATTGTTTGCAGGGGAAAGCAACCCCCAACACACACACACACATTGCTTTCTGGGGAAGAATTGGGAAAGGTTAGCCCCTACACTGCTGGGGAAGGTAAACTGTTGGGGAAGTAGATGGCCTCAGGAAGTTTCTTTAAGGGAATAGGTTGTAGGGGTGGGGAACATTCAGCCTCAAGGCCACATGTGGCCCTCTAGGTCTTCAAGTGTGGCCCTTTGACTAAATCCAACCTTCACATAGCAAATCCCCTTAATAAAAGGATTTACTCTGTAAAGCTTGGACTCAGTCAAAAGGCACACCCAAGGACCTAGAAGGCCACATGTGGCCTTGAGGCTGAAGGTTCCCTACCCCTGGAATCATTAAGGTGAGCCTCCTCAATATAGAAGTCCCTTTAGGAAAATAAGCTAAGATAAGCCTCCATAAAGTTAAAGATGTTCCCTTGGGGAAATGATGGGATTTGGGAATAGCTTCCTGATGGTAAGCTCCCTGCATAAATTTCATTTGGCATGAGAGGTGGGGAAGAGAGTGCTGTTAAGTTGACACCCCCTTAGGGAAATTCTTATGGGCCTGAAAGCAGGTATAGATTCCCATACAGGAGTGGAGGGGGTGACTCAAAGATAGAACTCTCAAATTATGCTAAAATATATTAAAATCCAAACGAATCCAAAATTGGCCTGAAGAAGGGATTTTCAATTACTGCAAATTTTGGAAAATTGGGTACACTAATTTTTTTGGTCTTACTATTTTTGTTTCTGTTTTTATGTCTTTGTAAAATGCTCAGAAAAATCTTTTGTGTTGTGTTTAAGGTTTGTAGATTCTGTTACCTTGAAAGAGGTCTAAGGGGGAAATGCAGGCAGCCATAAATACTACTGTAAAAAGCTGCAGCCAGCCTTTTCCCTGGCTGGCCTCGGGAAGCCCACATGATGCCCAGAGTCATGGTGAAGGATGTGAACCAGCAGGAGTTCGTCTGGGCCCTGGCTGCCTTCCTGAAAAAGTCAGGGAAGCTGAAAGTCCCCAAATGGGTGGACACAGTCAAGCTGGCCAAACATAAGGAGCTGGTGCCCTATGACAAGAACTGGTTCTACACCTGGGCCACCTCCACAGCCTGGCACCTGTACCTCTGGGGTGGTGCCGGCGTGGGCTCCATGACCAAGGTCTACAGTGGGTGCCAGCACAATGGGGTCATGCCCAGTCACTTCAGCAGAGGCTCCCAGAGTGTGGCCCGGAGGGTCCTGCAAGTCCTGGAAGGCCTCAAGATGGTGGAGAAGGACCAGCATAGGGGCCAGAAGCTGACACCTCAGGGACAGAGAGACCTGGACAGAATTGCCAGACAGGTGGCAGCTGCCAACAAGAAACATTAGGACAAACCACACCAGATTCATTAATAAATTGCTTTGTTCATAAAAAAAAAAAACTGCAGCCAAAGAGTTTAGAATGCTGGGGAAGATTAATGAAGTTTCATAGCTTCATACTTGAAACAGTTCTCCCAACTTTCTGCACTCTGATGCCTAACTCTCTGCTCCTATAAGCAGAGACTCGCTCCCACTTTAGGTTTTCATCAAGAGATTAAGTTTTAAAAAAAAATAAAATTTTGCAAGATACTTTCTGTCATTTTAGCCCTGGTCAGAATGAGGTTACAGAGGTAAAGTCAGATAATCAAAAAAGGGAAAACTTTTTCCTGCTTTGTAGAATTTTGTAGCATTATAAATGAATTAGAGATTGAATTTGAAATTGATATGTAGTATCTTTACTGTAAATTTCCATATTATGATAACAGCTAAAAATCTCAGTAGATTTTGGAGGTTTGAAGATTAAGCACAAGTACCTCTTTCCCCTTTCTGGAGAGAAGGATTTGGAGTTGGGAAAGAAGTGTGAGATGACTAGGAACTAGGAATGGCTTTTGGAAAGATTAAAGTAGAACTTTCAAAGCTTCATATAACAGAATCAATTGTTTAGGTAAACTAGAGACAAGATCACCAAAGAAATTAGAAAGAAACCAAGTATTTTTGGAAGTTCTTAGGAATCCAAAAGGGTAAGAATATTAGAGTTAATCAGGGTCATGTAAAATTTTGTGCTAAATTGCAAAGGAGACATTCTA